ACCTAAAAACTGGGTTCATTAACTCCATAATTAGATGGATTTCCTAAATTAGCTGGATAAACCTCCCCTATGGAGCCAGGAGAGGAGAAGCTCCAGGGAGAGCTCAGAGCCTGGAGGGGCTCCAGGAGAGCTGGAGAGGGGATGGGGACAAGGATGGAGGGACAGGAACAGGGAATGGATGTGTGGGAGATTGGGAATTGGGAATTCCTGGCTGGGACAGGACCCAGGGAATGGCTCCCAGTGCCAGAGGGAGAGGATGGGTGGGAGATTGGGAATTGGGAATTCCTGGCTGGGATGCAATTCCAGAGCAGCTGTGGCTGCCCCTGGATCCCTGGCAGTGCCAAGGCCAGGTTGGACATTGGGGTTGGAGCAGCTGGGACAGTGGGAGGTGTCCCTGCCATGGCTGGGGTGGCACTGGGTGGGATTTGAGGTCCTTCCCATCCAAACCATTCCCTAATTCTGGAATCTCAGGTGGCCCTGGAGCAGGACATGAAGAGAAGGTGTTTGAGCAGTCACTGCTGAGGTGCTTCCCAAAGTACTTCCAGTTATTTTTTCCTTTGACACAGGGAACAGAACAGCCTGGGACTGGTGAAGACTCACTAGGGATGAAAATTCCTCTCCTTCCTGGGGGTTCAGGAAATTCCACAGAACACCCTCAAAAGCCTTTGCAGCACCTCCGTCCACATTTGTCACAAAGAGAAAACATGATTCAAGGAAGACACCTGTGCTCTCCAAATAGAGATTTTTATATAAATAGAAATAAAATTCAATTACCTGAAGTGTCAACTGCTACTATTCAAAACAAATATTTGAAATTGATGAAAATTAGAATTTTATATTAAACCAAACCTACACAGCAACTAAATTAATTTTTTTTTCAATATTCAGAACTTTTAAGCTTCTTAAAAGTTCAGATTTTTTTGCAATTTCTGAGGCAAGAATTATTTTTAAAGCCTGCTTTAAATTTCCACAGAACAAGTAAAATATTTTAAGTATTATTTCATCCTTTGTGTGTCTATAACAGCACATGCTATCCACCCTTCTAAAATTCATTGCACAATTACAAATTTAAATTAAAGCCAGTGAGTTCAGTGGAAAGAACACAAATAAGAAAACTGAAAGAAAACCATCATCAAAACGAGAAATCCATAAACATTTGATAAATTTGGCAGTTGAAAAGAAGCCCCAATAAAAGGAAATTTTTCATACTTGTTGCCACCTGCCCACCCGACTGCTTTGCTTTGCTAGAAAAGAGCAAAATAGAGGCCAACCTATTTAACTAAACAGTTTTTATTAAAGAAAAAGAAAAGCAAGAATCTATAAAGTAGCAAGTGATCCTATTAGTTCCACCAGACTAAAATCATACAGTCTACGTATGTGGTCCTTTCAGCCACATCTGTTATGAGCCATTTTGATACCCAAAAGCAGAGAATATTTGCCTATATTTATCAGGCACTGAGTGCAAATCAGGCTTTTTCTCCTCAATAACTCCTGGTAGAATGGGTAGATTAAAACAAAAAAAGCAGTCAGAATTATAAAACATTTGTATTTACCACGGTTAAGGCCGAAGTACTCATCGTATTCCATGACTTTCTCTTTGAGGAATATGTAAAATAAATTAAAGATGAAGGGTACAAAATTAAAGGCAGCAATCTGGTGGCATAATTCAAAGATGAGTTAAATATTCAATATCCAGAACTGGATGTGATACATGGTAAATATTTGGGATTTGTATTCCCCCAAATTCATCACCTCACATTTAGTGCCTGGGTCCTGAAGTTTCCTTTAAATAAACTCCGGCGAATTCTTTGTACAAAACGCCCTATTCTTGACTGCTCTTTCAGCCAGAGATTGAAATGCAGATCCCAAAAATAGATCAGTCACTTATTTCAACTCCAGACCTTTGAAAATCCAGATCAATTGCCTTTTGTCATCGTCTTTATATGGAGAGTAAGAAATTTCTGCTCGGCACCATGGAAAAGCTCCCGGAGCCCTTTGGAAGAGGCGGCAGCATCGATAGTTTGAAACATCCGCGCGCCACTTCACGGGAATTTATTGACATTTTGGGACTATTCCTCCATATTTTAATCTTTATGAGAAAGCCACATAACTTACAGCAGGCACTAAGCAGCTTTCAGGTTCCGAGGTTCGCCCTAAGCTCGGGATTTCGGATTTGAAACCGCGCGACCTTCTCCCTAAAACCGGCGCCGCGAGCCACGCTCGACGCCAAGCGCGGCTCCCGCGCTCGGTCCCTCGGTAACCAAGTCTGGGAAAGAAATCACAGACACCCAAGTGGTTTGGCAAGTGTAAGTGCCAGAAGCTGAGCTAAATCCTCTGTTTACACTGGGGATTATCCGCGTGGATGGCGCGGCGCTCCCGGAGCCGGCGCTGGTCAGGGGACGCTGCTCCCCGTCCGCCCGCGGGGCAGGGCACAAAGCCCCGGCCTGGTAGGAAGTGACCCAGAAGGAGATGCCGAGCAAGGATTTCCACAAAGGCAGTCTGCCTCAGAAAAACTCCATATGACCATTAACGGGCCGGCAGGGCCTGCCAGGAGGCCTCATTACAGCCCTACAGAGCCCGCGGACAAAAGCTGGAGAGCTTTAGCCCAGGGATGATCTGCTTTATACTGACTTGAGAGAGTCCATATAGAGCGAGCAAAAGAAAGAGGTTTAGCTTGGAAATTCTCCCAAGAGACAAAGCATTGTCGCTCAGTCTGGAAGGCCCACATGGAACATACTTCTGATGGGCTTAAACATCCCACCCTCTCCAAATTAACATTCAACTATTGCCTGCTTAACATCTGCTCGGGCACGGCGACTTGTGGGAGGTTGTCAGAGGAGCCTAAAAAGGCTTCCCCGGCGCCTCAATATTAAGAAATCTAATTCAAGAAATCGTGGAAATATGAATTTATAGCTGGGACCAACAACTCCTGAGGAATGAAGGGTTTTATAAATCAAAACTCAGTTGTTCTGAGAATCAAACTGTTTGAGTACCTCCCAATATTGCCCTGTTTAATGAGAATAAAATACTGACATTAATCTACACTTAAAAAGAAAAAAAATATTTAAGAAAGTCAGCATGAATGCAGGACTTGGAGAAAAACCTCCTCAGCACGGTAGAACCTAAATATAAAAATGGCCATCTTACCCTCCTCCCCCACAGACACAGGCGGATATTTTTATTTTACCTGCTCTCCTAATGAGAGACTGGAGTCACAATTCCCATCTCCAAATCCACCAGGGAAAAAGAAAAAAACTCAATAATAAGAGTCTGCCTTACTACTCGCTGATTTCTGCCTTTCAGAGAAAGCAGCTGCTATTTCCTAAAATAATATCTAGGTTAAATTCTAAAAGCGGGTTTTCTCAAGATCCTGAATATCTCCAGAAGGGAAATTTAGATAGGGAAATAACAAACAAGGAATTCAGGATCCCTGGCAGTGCCCAAGGCCAGGCTGGACACTGGGGCTGGGACACTGGGAGGTGTCCCTGCCGCGGCAGGGGTGGGATGGATGGGATTCAAGGTCCTTCCAGCCCAAACCATTCCATGGATGAAGCAGGAAGGGACTGTCCCAGTGTCCCTACAACCCCTGCAGGTGATTTGGAGGCCCTGCTCTGTCCAAATCACACAGGAGCAGCATCTCCTCAACACCAGACCCAGGGACAATCCACTGGGAGCACGGCACAGCTTCCTCCTCCCACGCAGTGGGGCTGGAGCCAACCCTGCAACGGGTACAGACATTCCAGGAGCTCATTCCCAAACTTGGGAATGCACAGAGCTCTGTGCACAACGACAGCTCCACTCACCATCACTGAAGCACAAATTGAATTCTATTCAAATAGAACATCAGCACAACAGCAATGAACCTGCTGAGCCCCAGCTCCTCAAAAAGCTGCTGGGTAATGGCTCAGCAGAAACTTATTTTTAAGTTTGAAGACTAAAAGGTGCTGATTTTTCAAGGAGTAAACACGCAAAAATATATTGAAACGACATTTATCAACATTTCCAGCCTCTTCTCACAGCAATTAAATAAAAATTAAATTTAATTGGCTGAATGCAGGACTTGGGGAAGAAGGTGGGGGATGATCCCATAAATGCCTGGGATGACGAACTCTTAAATAAAGCCAAGAAGGAATTTAATTCTGTATTTTGGATTGTAAGAGACACAAAGATATTAAATCTCTTCTGGTTCCTTACGAACAACCTGCAGCTTCAATCTAAGATCCAGCCCTCAGTGGTGGATATTTAAATTTAATAATGTCACAGACCTTTTATAAGCTTTGGAAAATTTTGGAGCCCAGGTCATGATGATATACAACCCCCAGTTATCTTTTGTACATCTCCCAGGTGTGAAATTAAAAAATGAGAAGTGATCGATGGCAGCAGAATACACAAATTGTGCTTTTGAGGTCAGGGCTGTCACATCCATTTCATAATTACATGCTTCAAAGATTTATTAAAGTTCTGGAGAACAAGGAATGTATTGGAAAAGAGACAATGCAAAAGGCTGGATGGATTTTGGAAAAAAGAAGTACATGAACAACGTGAGGAGATTCCTCAAAACAGAGGGTTTCCAGAAGGAGGGAAAAAAATACATATATATATATATATATGCATACACATATACACACAAACCTATATATATTCACATACACACTTGTACTAGTCTAAAACAGTGCTAAAAATAAAGAAAATTGCAAAACATAAACAACACCAAATTTTTGAGAGCACAGAATAACATCTCAGTAGCAGCAGGAGCCAGAGGATAAACATGAGGTTTTAGTGCAAAAAAAAAAAAGGCTTATTTTGATTTCCTTAAAGGGTTTTACTAAGTGCCAGTGATGATGCAAATCAATTTAATCTTAACCTGAAATTCAAGTGGGCTGCGGAGAACGGGATCAGCATCTGCCAAACACAAAGGGATAAAATCCCACCTGAATAAAATCCCACCTGAATAAAATCCCAAAAATGAAGCAAAGTTTTGAAGAGTCTCATTTACTCACCAGCTGCCTCCAGAACCAGCTGCAGCCTGGCCTTGGCCTGTTCAGCAGGAGTCTGCAAGAGAGGACGGATCAGCTCACACCTGGTTGGACTTTCCATGGGACATCCCCACCCTCAGAGAGCTCCTGCCTCCTCCAGCCACAGGAATTCCAGACTGGAAACAGCGAGGGAGGAATTACCCAGGAAATCTTCACAACTGACCCAAACCCATCCCCACGTGGTGGCTGTGGCACCGTGAGCAGCCCCACTTCCAACCTTCCAACCCCAAATCCTGCCTGGCTCCCGGGTGACCTCGTCCCATGAAACGCTCCAAATCTGGGTTCAACGTGATTCATGTGGTGAGTTTTTCCACTTTTCTCTTATCTGGGGTGACTTTTCCCTCTCCTGAAGGTATTGCTGCACATCTGCAGCTCGAGGAGCACGCTGCTGGCTGTGGCCCCACTATGCTAATGAGTGCCAGTGATGTTGCACTGTGTCCAATGTGTTTGCCATCCCTCTAAGTGTGAAGCCACTCAAACGTTGCCGCAGTTAAATTGAGACACAAACCCTATTTGTCACGGAGTTCAGAAGTTGATTATTTCTGGAAGCATCACAGAAGTTTGGGAGGTTTCGGCCCTGCGCTAAAAACAAAACCCAACGGGAATTTTTGGTGGCGTTTTGCAGCTTAGGAAATTCTTCTCAAGAGTCAAAATGGCTGCAAAAGGGAAAATTAAATAGGAAAATACAGACAAGAGCAGCTGTGGCTGCCCCTGGATCCCTGTGTGCCCGAGGCCAGGCTGGACACTGGGGCTTGGAGCAGCCTGGGAAGGTGTCTCTGCCATGGGAGGGGTGGGAATGGGATTTAGGATCTCTTCCAACCCAAACCATGCCATGATTCTATGATTTTAATTAGGCAGAGCTCTTTGCCATGAACGTCCCAACTGGTGATGCTTTGCATGGCCTCACCACCCTCATCTACACCCACGAGGAGAGGCTGACAATGACAGAACAATTTCTACTCCAAGAATTTACTGCTCCTTCCAATAAGAGAGATTCTGCATTAAAATGAAATTTAAGTGAAAATCCAGATTTTGGTTGTATAGAGATCTATTATTTTTAGTTCAGATTTTTGCTGTTTGCATAAACCCAGAATTACTGAGCAGAATTTATTATTATAGCTGCAATATGGATCCTACCATCACACCTGACCATTAGTCCTGGTGGCAGCAAGAAACATCTTGAAATTTATCATAAATTATCTTCCCATTTCTTCTTCTTGCCACGAACTGATCATTGCAATCTGTTCTGGCATCTTTAGAAGAAGGGAAGGATCTGCTTTTTATCCAGAACCAACTTGCCCAGCTTCAGTTTCAGAGAAGCTTTACTTGGGTTTGTGCTTTCTCCATTCCACGACAACTCTAAATTTAAAAATAATTTCACCAGGATTAGTTGAGTTCAGCAAAATTTTGCAGGATAAGCAGAGAAAGAAAATTATTTGGTGTCAAACACCACCTGTGCTCATGTCTGCACATAACAGCCCAAGTCTTTGTGCACCTCATGCATCAGGTGGGCTCTGACACCCCAAATCACAATTTCCTATTCCTACAGCAGTTATCCTCCACAAAACCCTGGATCTCTGAGATCATTGGATCCCTTCTTGCTGGCCAAACAACCACCAGTGACTGGAGAAAGATGTTCCACTGGCAGCTTTAGGATATTCGTGGCACCACCACACCCACAGGAATTCCACGAAAGAGCAAACGCCAAGCAGGCTCCAGAGGAGGAGAGGGGAAGCAACAGCAGCTTCCTGGTACTTTCCTCGTGGTCTTAAGCATAACACAGAAGGAAAAGAATTCAAAGAGTGAAAGGAAAAATAAAAGTATTTCTAGTGGCAGCTGTGAAGGAGTCTACTAAGTGTCACTTCCAGCACTAAACAGGGAGTTCCACAACTGATCCGGCGGCTCTGAGGAGCTCCAAACCCCTTTTCCCACTCCTCGCACGGAGTTATGGATGTGCCTTGTTGGTGTAAGGGAGGGAAGACTCAAACCCTCCCTTCACTCAGCAGTTTCCCACTGGGAGCAGCCCAGGCAGTTGCTGTGGAGCATCTTCCCCTTTGCCCTGGCCCCAGAACTCGCACAGACACCTTGGCATCAATCAATAAGCCCTAACCAAGGAGTGAGAGGAGGATTCTGAAATAAAGGTGACTGGCTTGGCCCCAGAAAACATCTCTCCAACTGGTGGACGAGGCCAGCACTCGGAGAAAAAAAGGACAGAGGGGATTGCAGCTGAAAACCACAATTAGAGCCTCAAACAAGCCAGGAGCAATGTGTGAGAACAAGCAGCTACCCCAGGTCAGTATTGATTTAGGGAACCATTAAGTGAAAAAATTCAGCAAGAGCCTCAGGAAACTTCAAAATGGTGAAGTGATCGGTGGAGGAAACGTTACCAAGAGTGGTGTCGAGCAAAATAAACCCTTGTACTTTCCTTATGGTCTTAACAGAAGGAAAAGAATTCAAAGAGAGCAAAAGGAAAAATAAAAGTATTTCTAGTGCCAGCTTGTGAAGGAGCCCACTAACTGTAAAAGCAGGAGAGGAATCCCCTAAAATTCCTTAACAAGCACACTGTAAAATGACCTGAGGTCATCCCCAGCAATGAATTTTACACGTGTCCAAAAGTGTCTGGTGAGACACTGGAATCCCAGCTCAGAAAAGGATGGTATTCCATAGGACACCATCAACACCACTGTGATTAATAACAGATTTAATATTTCAAATAAAAATTGGATTAGATCATTCATTTTTTAATGGTAGCTGATTTATGAAGATGCAGCACACCCTTAACTTGTGTTTCTTTGCAGTTCATCCACTGCATTGCATCACTACTCCTTTCATAAATAGTTATTTTAATAAAATTACACTAAACCAGACGTACAACTTTAAACTTAGTGGGTTTAGTGTAGAAGTGCCCACACAAGCTGCTTGTCACTCACAGCTCCAGGAAACAAGATGTAATAGGCAGGAGAGCCATGGCTAGCTTCCCAGATATTCCATTTCAAGGGAGATGCAGCTTCTCAATTAATTAATAGACTACAACACTTTAATTCAGCTTAGAACATATTTTAAAATTATTCCTGCTATTTGGAATGAATGGTCAATGTTCTTGACAGAGGAAACAATATTAAAGTGAAAACTTGAGAACACTGAGGAAAACAATTTGAGAAACATGAGGTTTACAAGGAGAGCCCAAGTTTCTGCTGGAGCCAGCCACTGGGAATGCTGTGGAGCAGAGCACGTGGCTCTTGGCAGCACTGGGAAACTTTTATCCCAGGATTCCAGCAGCTCGTGAGGCTGCAGCATTTTCAGTTGCAATGCTGCCTCCCTGAATTTTTATCACTGTGGAATTTCATATGGAAAATGTCTGAGACGTGCTAAAACTGGACAGGTCCCACTCCTCCTGCTCATCCCTGACACTGCTGGGGTAAAATCTACCTGTAGGACTTTCCTGTTTCAAAACAGCTGGATAAAAGCCCAACAAATTTCTGGTGATGTTGATCAATTCTGAGGGGTTTTTACACCAATCTTTTCTTTTGGTATTTGATAAAGAAAAATCCAGCCCTCACCATTCCCAGGAAAACCTGCTACCTGAAAACAATTTTATATTGACTCGCACAGAGGACATGGGGTATCAAACCTGTTTAACGAAAATAATCAAACTCCTAATTTAAAAACAGGTAAAAATTGGAAATCAAAACCGAGTTGTGCTTGTACCTACTGTGGATCTTCTCATGTCATCTCCCAGGGTTTAAATTCCTCTGGAAGCAAGCATAGGTGGTAAAATCCCAGATTAAGAGCAAAATCCAAATGATACCCAAGGAATCAGTAAATAAATAGTAATTAATAACTCCTCCTCAGAGCACAAATCCATCCTCCTGCTTTAACTCCATCCTCTCACCCCTTTCCTAGGGACATTGATCCGACCTTTCCATGCTTGATGAGCTCCACAAAAGGTTAAGGAGTAACAAGAAAGAGCAAACCAAACACACATTTTCCAGCTGTCTGAGGGGGTGGCTGCCCAAAACTACGGGGGATAATTCCAAAGCAGGTCAGAAACTACAGCAAATGTTTGGAATGAATCCCAGAAAAACGGGAAGTTGGCAAGGCTGAGGACACAAGAGAAATTCCCAAGTGGAGGTAAAAGAGAAACCCCAGGGGAATGAGGCCTAAGAGAGGCTGTGGGATGAAGGGAATTGTTTAGCAGGGATAAATCCAGGGGTTCTGGTGTTACATGGACGGAATTCATGTGGAGGAAGGAGAGGGAAAGGACAACAAATCCCACTCAGGGACTGCCTGAGAGGTGATTTCTCTGGAGAAACAGCCACATCCCACAGTGTGGGGTCCCATTCCATCACTCCTCACACACAGGGATGGCTTGGGAATTTGGTGTTTCCATGGAAGTGCCAACGGTTGCGATCCAAATGAGACACAAATCAGCAGCCAGGCACTGAAGAGTCCAAGCCCACTGCTCCCAGCAATCTGTGAGACTGGAAGGGTGTTCCAGCTGCAGGGGGATGTGGGAATGCACTGAGTGACAACACCCCATCCCATTTATACAGAATTCCAGCAGTTTGGGGTACAGCAGGGTGACAGGCCTGACCAGCTGCAGCATGGGAGAAGTGCAATTCCCACTGGGAGAACTCCTCTGCCTCGCTGCATTCCCAAAATTCAGCACCAATTCAGCAAATCCCCAGGCTGGGGCTGGAGACCTCAGTGTCAGTGAGGGGCAGAACCAAGGAAGAAATCAAACACAGGGGTATTTAGGTAATTTAGGAAACACCTAAAATTACATTTCAATTTATTCTGTAAGTCAGGGGCCTGCCTTCACCTGCAATATTTATCCATCCCACTTCCAGCAAATCCCAACAGGAGAGAGCAACAAAGGAGCCTAAACCCAGCCAGCTTTTAAACAGAGTTTGATCAAATTATGGAAAAGATTGTGGGACAGGTTTATCATAGGAATGCTGGATTCTTTTCCTGCCATTTACTTCTCTTTGGGTGATTAAAAAAGCAATTACCAAA